ATGTGCCATAAAGAAAATCGCGATATATGTATGAATAAGGACCTAGGGTGGTCGAGGCGACCGAACCCCTGCCGTAGGTTATCCTTCCTAGATAGAACCCGGGATAAAACCTCGGTGTGGACGGTGGATAGTGTGCATTGAAATGAGCCATAAGCTTAATGCCCCAAATACGATAGCCTAGATCAAGGTGACTATATATGGGTTTAGGGGAGGCTTACTCGGAGGCGTGTGGATAACCACGAAAGTCACGGAAAAGAGCTAACTCACCACATTCGATAACCCTAAGTATCTATATATGCGTAGTAACCCTAAGCTAGGGGGAGGATTAGTTCCCCGAAGTACCTGCGTTTAGCTTTGATCAATCTCTAGTCTAGTTATCTCCTCAAATCCTCCACTCAACCCTCCAAAACCAATTAACTAATTAGCAACTAGGTGGGAAGTAGGCTAGGTTACGAGGAACTGAGTAACATACGACCTTGATTACCACTATATGACAATGCTGTCTTAGGTTAGACTTGGCTTAAAATCGGGTAGTTGTTGACACGTGTTAACCATTGACAATAATCTGCACGGATCAAAGTGATCAAGCTTTTTGGCGTTGTTACCGGGGAACTGTGGTAACTAATAGAAAACCATTGAGTTGTTAGTTAGTCTTTATCTTGTTTTGTTTGTTTGTTTTATTTTGCGTTCTTGTTTGTCTTTTTGTTATTTTTGTGTTTTGTTTTTCACCCACTCTTCTCCCCGAAGGGTGGTTTGTGTTGGTTTGATTTTCTTTTTAGTGTTTTTGTTTGTTTAGAAGCTTTTGAATCATGGATCCTTATGACTTCACCCAAGTGTGGGGGTATTCATCAATACCCGAAGATGGTTACCTCGAAGCTTCATGGTATAATCAAGATGGTGGAAGTCAAGGGTTCAGATTCTTTTACCAACCTCCCTTCGAAGAAGAAGAAGAACCATACCAATGGGGATATGAAGAGGCTTCCCCTTTCCAAGAAGATTTCCTTCCACAACCGGAGCCAAGAAACGAATCGGAACTCTTGGTGGAGCGGTTTACCCGATGATCCGATGGAGCATCCTCAAGTATGGAACAATCTTGATACACTCCACAATCATCGATGAGCCAATTGGAGCTCATGATGGAGCGGTTCACCCGGGATACCGAAGCATGCTTCGATTTGGAATCCTCAATCACCAACCCTATAGACTCATCCTTACTACGATCATCGGAGGAGATCCTCTGAAGGACGGAGAGACTAGGAGAGATTGTTGAGCAAGCATATGAACGACTTGCTCACAATCACCTCCTACCATTTGAAGAAAAAGGAAAGGATGTCAAAGAGGCGAGAAGGGAGGTTGTGGAAGAGGAAGTGAGCATCAAAGAAGAGGAAGATCTTGAACTTTCCCAAGTGGTGGAACGAATTGAAGAAAAGAGAAGGGAGGTTGAAGAAGAAAATGGTGCCCATGATGAGGATGAGATTGTTGTGGATGAAGCTTCAACAAGTTACAAGTGCTATCAAATATTTCCACCTGACCTCGATGCACTATTGGAGAAGGACCCATTTGCGGCTCTTTGCCAAACCAAGGCTAAACCATCGGAGGTTCCTCTTGGTTGATGCGATGAAACTCAAATGAGTGTGCACTACATGGCGTGGGCCAAAGAGAAAAAGGATGAAGGAAAGAAAGAGAGGTTTAGTGGGTGGAGCCTCATGACAATTCAAGTTCACGAACCCTCAATCATGGACTCATCCAAAGCTCGTGAATTGAGACACCACCTCACCGACGAGAACCTCAACTTCAAGGAGGTTCTAAGTTGGACTAAGTACTTGAAGATAATCGTCCGACAATAAGACTTAAAAGACGCACTAGTTGGGAGGTACCCCAACAACCGGTTTGCATTTCCTTACTTTTCGAAAATAAAACTTGCATCATTGATTTTGCTTTAAGTAGTTTTATAGTTTCAAATGGTGAATAAATCCCTTCTATGTCAAGTATTATATGAACGATTGTTGGAGACTATTTAGTTGTTTATGAATAGTTGCAATTGTTGTTGTGTTGAGCATGTGTGCTAGCTTAGCCTACCAATCAAGCTACTTATGGCTAGGGAATGGCATGGCTAGTGCAATAGGATCATAGAATGTATGCTTATAATTGTGTATGTGTGTTTGGAAGCCTTTTTGGGCTTTATCTTTATGAGTCAAGAGTTCAAGCTTTAGTTGTTGTCTAATGAGTTGATTCTAGCCTTCGGCCAGGGTTTAGAAACCTCTAGAAAGACATGTGTTCCTTGTTTTCATTCATTTAGACCTCGACCCTAGTCATTACAACATGCATTTCTACCTATGCACCTCTAGTTTCTACATTGTAATACTTAAGTGTGGGGGTGTATAGACGGAACCTAAGGATCGATTTTGTTGTTCAATAGATCTAGTGAGTTGCCTAATGGTTTGTTTGAACATGTTTTGTGATTTTTCTCTTCTAATGACGATCCAACCGAGAGTGAGAGTGCTAGCTCTCTTAGCCCTCAACAACGAAGAAATCGGAACCGCCCAGGATGAGTAGAACCACAAAATCCCAAGAGAAGTACCATAACCTCAAAGCGAGTAGCAACCACATCAACCACAACAAATCAACCAACGGAGGTGACTACTAACTATGATCGGTCATCCTTACATGAAATAGCCTCCAATGTGCAACTACCATATGCTCCAACCATGAATCAAAACCACTTAGCGTCTAGGGGCCGATTTCTATCTTTTCTTTATCTTAATTGAACAATGTTTAATTATAGCTTTATTTTTATTTTCATTTTTCGTACTTTAAATATTCTAGCACTAGTAGTATTAATACTTAATATTTATCTATCGTACCTATAACTCTTATTTGTCTTCTTCTATCTCTTATGTGCTTTATCGTTGTGAAAACCACCAAGAAGACAAAGACCTACACTTGTGTACCTTCACCAACCCTCAACCAAAACCTATGGTAACCCTCACGATCTTCTCTTATGAAACTCCCACATTGAGGACAATGTGTTGCTCGGGAGGATGTGTATGAATGGATATCATGATTGGTTGAACCATATATTGCTAGAATCCTCCCTTGTTTATGAATGTAAGACATTGATGAATACTTATGAGAGTGTGTGCTAGCAATTTGTTTGTGTTGTGGTGATCAATGGTCAAATGAGAGTGTTTTGGAACCTTGAATGCTATTACTAAAAAAAAAAAAATCAAATTTGAGGGTTCCAAAACACATTGTTCTTTGCAACTCCCAACTCAATATGCTTTGATTTGTTATATGATTGATGTGTTGTGCTTGTTAGGTGATAGTTGCATGATAGAGTACCGATGTGTAGGTAATTTTACTATCTTCTTCCTCTTGTGTGAGTTGATAATATGTGTTATTTTAGGAAGAACATGTGTGCGGGATTCTCTTTTGTGTCTAGCGAACTCAAAGCTTTTACAAGTTTGTGTGTATTAGAAAAGAAAGAGAAGAGTTTGTTATATGATTGATGTGTTGTGCTTGTTAGGTGATAGTTGCATGATAGAGTACCGATGTGTAGGTAATTTTACTATCTTCTTCCTCTTGTGTGAGTTGATAATATGTGTTATTTTAGGAAGAACATGTGTGCGGGATTCTCTTTTGTGTCTAGCGAACTCAAAGCTTTTACAAGTTTGTGTGTATTAGAAAAGAAAGAGAAGAGTGAAACATCTATTGAAAATGAGGTTCTCACGTGAGCGGCAACCAATCCTCACGGATTTGGATTGCCCTTTGAGGGTATGCTTGGGGATCGGATAGCTTTATCGTGTGTCGACCATCTTTCACTACTTACCATCCCCCATGCATCTTTCCTCCTCACAGAATCATATGCCAAGTTTCAAAATATTTTTTAGCGATTCATAAGACCTCATACCTCTCATTTGTACCCAACATATGTGGCACCCCAATGTAGAGTGTAGGCTGGGAAGTGGTGCTCAGGCTAAGACGAATCCGCCCATCAACTTCCCCACATGGGACCTTGAAAGGGAAGGCTATGATTCATCCGCTCTTGGTCATGAGGGAGAGATGTTTGACTGCAAAAGAGCAAAAGCTTGGTGCAATGCGCGTCAATGTCAGAAAAAAGAGGAGACCAATAAATGACAACTCTGAAATATAAAGAGAGAATAAAGAGCACCTCAAAGAGTTCTAGTTCGTGTTTGTTGTCCGAGAATCTCCCGGAGCACACCTTGAATGTTTGGCCTAAGGTAGTAGGTATGGTCCTCACCCGAGAGTTTGTGCTTGCACAGTAACGTTCATCCATCTCCGTCTACTCTTCTTTATGCAATGAAGAACTAGAGTGCATTCCCCATTGATTTGTCTATCATATTGCATTAAGTTTGAGTAGGTTTGTTTGGGGACAAGCAAATGCCTAAGTTTTGGGGATTTTGATAACACCTAAATCAGTGTTTGTTAACCCTCATATCAAGGTTTGTTTCGTGTCAATTCATATGCATAATTGCTTGAACATTTTCGATTACATCCCTATTTCGTTCCTATGTGAATTTGATGTGATTTTAGGGTGTATTAGACGATATATGCTAATTAGGTACAAAAAAAGGTCAGAAGTGTAGCAAAGGGACATGAAGCGTAAGATTGTGGCCTGCAAGCTGAAGATCACAGCCGGGAAGATAACCCGCGAACGCAAGTTGAAGATCGCGGCCTAAATGCCCCAGATCATGGTCGCGAATTGGAGGGCTCAGGGCACAAGCTTCGCGAGGAAGGAGCCAAGGATAAACATAGAGTTTCCCCAATCAAATCACGACCACAGAGTTATCAGACCACGAAGAAGATCGCGACCGTGAAGTCAGCCCATGATCTCCCCCTTTTCGAAGGCCATGACGACACCGTTCCAAGATTGCGGTCTCACTTCCGAAGATCACGACCGCGATCTCTGTGCTTCTGGCCGCGAACTTCTCCATCCTGAGATTGCCTATAAATAGAAGACCCCTTTCCCCCTTTTTAAAAGAGCCGATTTTAAGAGAAATTTCTTGTTTTAGAGAGAGAGAAGAGAGAGAAGTTGAAGGAAAAAGAAGGAAGGGGAAGAAGGAAAAGTATCTAGAAGAGAGGGAGCATCTTCCTCAACCCAATTCTTCTTCAATTTCTTCTACGTCCCTTCTTCCCTCCTTTATGGAGTAGTCCTCTAAGGTACTAGCGAATCTAAACCCCAAACCCTAGCTTTAGGGTTTATTATGTATGTATGTATGTATGGATATTTTAGGGTTTGAATGAATGAATGAATGAATGTGTTTATCTAGATGATTTTATTGCTATTCTATCATGGATTATGTTTATGGTAGGGCACCCCAATCTTTTCTACTAACCTACTTTATGCTTCTACGCTGGGTTTGGAGTTCCAGGGTTAGACGGGTATGCGCCATAAAGCAAATCGTGATAAATGTATGAATGGGGACCTAGTATGGTCAAGGCGACCGAACCCCTGCCTAGGTTAGCCTTCCTAGATAGAACCCGGGATAAAACCTCAGTGTGGACGGTGGACAGTCTCCATTGAGATGAGCCATAAGCTTAATGCCCCAGATACGATAGCCAAGATCGAGGTCACTATATATGGGTTTAAGGGAGGCATGTGGATAACCACGAAAGCCCACGGAAAAGAGCTTGACTCGCACGAAACTACACCACAATAAAACCCCAACTAGAGCCCAAGTTTTTAAACTCTAGTTGGGTGCAGTATAGGGCAAGTATTTAGATATCGACCCGGGTCGGTCCGTCTACCCCTACTTCGGTTGTTGAAATCATTATCTAGCAACAAAGTTTTGGTTTAAAGGTTTGCTAGTTGAAATAAAAGAAAGCAGAGGTAAATGGTTTTGGAAACTCTTTTGTGGAAGCATCACTCGCGTGTCGCTTCCCCCTAACTGCTACCATGCTATGTGGATTGGAACGATTGCTTTGAGCACGATAATCGCGAACCGCATAGGGATGCATATGTGGTCGGAGACCACAATCTCAATTGCTAAATCGAGGTAAGCATGAAAGGCCGTGTCACTCGACCCTCTCGGTTTAGTCAATCGATAGTTGACTTACTCCCTCACTGAACTCTAAGGTCGGACGGCTTAATCGCTATTAAGTGACTTGCTTAACTCAATATTGAGGGTTTCCCTAACTTAACCTAGTTTAGGTGGCTTAGAAAGCGGAAGGAAAACCAACTTGATTGAGTCTCCCTTGAAAGGGAGATTTTCCTCTCTAAGCTAGGCTAAGGTGGCTAATTAGATTGCTAGCACCTACATGCACAAACCTAAGGGTGCTAAACACAAAACATGTACAACCCCTATGTTGCTAAGAAAAAGCATGCACAATCATGATAAATAATGCCTCAATTATTGATTTGAACAATACCCAATGATAATCATCCAATACACATAAAAGAAAACTACATGGTAGAGTTAGGGTTTCACAACACCCAAGTGAAAGGCGGTCTACTCCATGTTAGAAGTGGGGAAAACAAAAGGGAAAGAGATGGAAACCATCTTGGAAGATGCTCCCAGTCTTCTTGGCCCTTGAGTTGAGCTTTCCTTGGAGGAAATCTTCCCAAAATCTTCCTTAAGCTAAACCCTTGCCTTCTTCTCCCTTTGCTTCGTGTTTCTCTCTCTAGAATGTTGAAGAAGACTTCTCACACACAATGGGCTCTCCCCTTTCTCCTCCTTTCAGCTCATAATTTAAACCCGAGACGAGCTGAGTTCACGGCCGTGAACCATGAAACGCGTCCGTGAACTTCATGTGTGCACCAAAACGCGCCGCATCATTCACTTCTATTCACGATCAACTGCCCTCGTTCACGGTCTTAGTAACCGTGAACTCACCTTGCGTCAGTAACCTCCACTTTGGCTCTGGACGCCTCGCTATACACGGTCCATGGCTCTTCTTCACGGTCATGCAAGACCGTGAACTTCCTTGGTTAGCCGTGAACTGGCCCTTTTTCACCTCTTCTCTCAGTTTTCGATCCTTTTCGCCAATCTTTCCAATCGAGGCTGGTTTCACCTGTTAAATCCTGAAACAAACTAAAACACGGGAAACCTACCGTAGAGTGAATTTGGTTCAAACATCTAAGTAAAACAGGGGCAAAACATGTACAATTAGGCCCGAATCACTCCCCCCCCCCCACTTAGACGTTTGCTTGTCCCCAAGCAAACCATTTCACGCTAGGTAATATTTCAACCTACACAAATACTTCCGGGATAACTCAAAGGGCGCGAAATGGGAACTCTCGATGGTTATTGGCAATCAACATGTGGACCGTTGCAAGCAATACAGATATCCACCACAAATGACATTCAAAGCCACCAAAACAGGCTAATGAAAAGTTCTCAACTTATTCATTGATAAATGCAATTCTCAATAAAACCACTTATCGACCACAACCAACCGTGCATGGAATTCAAGTCCGTGGAACAAATGGAAAGGCAACAAAGGTCCTCACCGGGGTATGAAATGGTAAGTAAAACAAGAATGAATCACTCACTCTCAAGACCAGTGGGGTCGGGACCTTTTGGGTGCAAAAGATGTGCACAATCATAACCTCTCGGCCCTATTGTCTCAATACCAAGGCGGAAACCTCTAAACGCTAGCGTTCACGGGATGGTTGTCTGACACGCCAAAACACAACACCAAACTGCGACCAAGCGTAATGGCAGAATGGGACTGCAGTATAGTGGCACAAGTAATAAATATCGAATCCACGGGTCTCTAGAGTTACTATTACTCAGCTTCAGTTCATTATCTAGCAAACTAGATTAAGGATTGATTTACTAAACTACTCTACTAACTACTCTACTAATTACAAGTTGGGAACTCACTTAGGTATGATTCCCCCTAACTCCTCAATTAGGTCCAAGTTGCAATTACTTTTGGTTGGTCTACTGTTGATTAAACTGCAGAAGATCCTAAATTAGCTTGGAATCTCTTAAGCTGACCAAGCCCTCTTAGACAGAATACCCGACAGGCGACTAGCCTTCACCGGGGTAGACTGCTAAGGCGATTCACACAGATCTCCACTACTGGAATGAATTCCAGTACAAAGCAGTGAATTGATTGACTCTCGCACAACCAATTCACCACTATCAATCAAGGAAGATCTCTTAACCTAATCAGATTCTATCTATCATAGGTTAAAGCAGAAATCAAGAGAATTTGATCAAGATTCAATTGACTCAATAAATCATGCCTCAATCGATTATAATCAAACAATATAACATCCAAAACTTCATACAAGAAAGATCCTAACACATGGAACTAGGGTTCTTCAAAACCTAAGTGAAGGGAAGTTACTCCATAGAGAAGAGAGAGACTGCAGAAATCTGATCTAGATCTTCAATCTCCATCTCCAAGCTTGAGTCCTGAGCTCCAATGGCGAAGAAATCCTCCAAAATAGCTCCAACAATGTTCCCAAGTCGCTCTCTCTCTCTAGGGTTCGTCCCTTGAGTGTTTGGGAACCAAAACCCAGCTCTCCCTCTCCTTTGGCTCGAAATTTGGCTTAAAACCAGAGATTCCCGACTCACACGGCCAAGCCACACGACCGTGTGACTTTCCCAGCTGCCCGTGTGAGTGTCCAAACGGGGCGTTTCGATTAGTGGGAAACCAGGCAAGCTGCACGGGCAGAGGCCACACGGCCGTGTGGCTCCCCAGGCTGCCCGTGTGGCTTTTACCGAGCCTTCACACGGCCACAAGGGGCCCCTACACGGCCTTGTGAGGTGCAATGGTGCTTGTGCGGCTTCCCAGCTTCTCGCCAAACGTCCAATCTTCGTCCAATCGACCCCGAACTCGTTCACAGGCCTTCATTCATGTGCTAGGACCTGAAATATCACAAATATGAACAACCTAGCATGAAATCGGCCTAAAACGCGGGAATCGACATCTCAAACGGCTCAAGAATAGGGGTAGAAACATGTGTAATTATTGGTCTATCAAACTCCCCCACACTTAACCGTTTGCTTGTCCCCAAGCAAATCTAACTCAAACCAATGCAGCTTTCCAGACCTCTATAGCAACAAACAACACCGATCGTAGGTAGAGGATTTTCTAGATCATAAAGCAGCTTACGAGGTCAACTGGTCTTCTAAGACGTCCCCTATCTCTCTCAATGCGAGTACTAGACTCAAGCCAGGATCATGAGAAGAAGTAGAAGTAAGACAATCAGTTCATGGATAAAGGGACTCACAACATTCACAACCAAGGACTCGTTGTACCGGGGTGCTCTTTCACTTCATTTCACCGCTGGAACCCCTTTTTCACTTTCATTTTACTTTTTTTTTCTTTTTACACTTGGTGGGGGTTCCAACTGCACTATTTTGCACGGTCGAACCTTATTAGTCGAGCAAGAGCAATTTTTGTACATCTGGAGCTCGCCAGAGTACTTCTTTTAACTCATTTTCCTCAACTCGTGTGGAGGGTCAATGAAATTAAGGGGGGTCAGAAGCTCTATCCGTGCCCTTAAAAACACATCCTCAAGTAGGCAAACCGTTCAACGGGTGGAAGTTTTACTTGTACTGGAGACAGCTTAGCTTCACCTTGTAGGAGTACCCCACTAAGGATCACTAAAATCTCCTCCAAAACCCGATTTTGTGCAATGAACGGTGCCACACACGTTGGGCTTACCCCATGTTTAAGATTTAATGATTTCGACATGCAGGACCAACTGCTTTTCATTTTTCACATGAGCACCCTGTTCGATACACGAGTCCATAACACAATCCAAACAGAGTCACCATTACCACATGAATTCAACGGTCTTAGCTCCACTAATTCACATAATCAACTGGCATAGCAGAGAGCTAGATAGGAAAAATATTATACTTCAACATCCTCCATAGTGCTACACTACCTCCCTAGGTTGCACATTACTATAGATACTGTCAATTCAAAGCATACTGAGCAGGAAATTTGCAAGGAAATACGTACTTGGAGCCCTCAAGTTTAAAAATTTGGACAGTGGACTAGGCTCCAAGCACACAAACAGCCAAACATTCACCCACATACATAATTGAACATCCCCCCACACTTAAGCACGACATTGTCCTCAATGGAGGAAAGATAAGGAGGGTAGAACGAAGTTACTAGATCAAGGGTGAATGATGGTGGACGAGGCAGGCGGTGCATTCCAGGAGGAGAGAGTAGTCGGACACAAACACCACACAAAATCTCACAAAGGTTGAGTTATTTAATCTAAAATCAAATAACAAAACTAACTCAACCGAGGAGAAATAGAGAAAGAAATGCAAACCGACTGGTTGGGTTGCCTCCCAACAAGCGCTTCTTTCACGTCGTGAGCCGGACGATGGATCCTAAGTTTCGGTCCACCCCAAAACCTCCTTGAAGTTGAGGTTCTCGTCGATGAGGTGGAGTCTCAAGTCACGAGCATGTGGTGTGGTAGGTGATGAAGGCTCATGCACTTGATGCAGATGAAGTCTCCACCCTCGAGACCTCTTCTTCTCTTCTCTCGTCTCATTGCCCCAAACCAGATATGACAGCATCGATTGGCCACCATCGCTTCCACCAAGAGGGACCGATGTCGACGTGGCCTTGGTCTGGAAAAGAGACACTGCAAATGGGTCCTTGCCAAGCAGCTCCTCGAATTTTGGTGGAGATATCACATGTAACTCATGGTCGGTGCATGCCTCTTCCACCTTAACTCCGTCCTCAGCCTGGACGCCAATTGCTTCTTCAACCCCCCTTTCTTCTTCATGTGGTATCACCCCTGGGAAATGATCAAGAACTCCTCCTGCTTCACTTTCGTCATCCTCCACAACTTCTTTCTGCACCCTTTCTTGCTCTTCTTCTTCTTCTAGCACAGATTGGAGAGCAAGTCGCCATGTAATTTCTTCAATGAGATCATCTTGCATCTCCTTGCTCGGGCCCAGCATGTTAGAGCAGAAATAAGGAAAGGTGTGATCTGCAACCAGAGGACTTTCCTGATCATGATTATCATGGGAGTTCTCTGTGATAACTTCTGTATGCTCCTCAACATCCCCGTAGCCTTTGTCATCCTCCACCTCTTCTAGCGTGGTAGCAGAAAGGTGATCTTGAGAAAGATGTGAGCAAACTTGCTCCACCCACTCTGTTTGCTTTGCTGAGCGCTGAACAGTCTCCTCCATTTCATGGAGAAATGAGGGATCGGAAGGGGCAAGGGCTTTGATTTGAAGATCCATCTTGGAGCATGATCTCTCAGTGTCTCGAGCAAACTGCTACACGAGAAGCCTTAATTGTTTGTTCGGATCTTCCAGTGAAGTGTAGCATGGATCTGCAGAGTGGCCCGTGAAGGCCTCCATGGCTAACTCCAGCTCTGATGGCCCTTCTGGTTGTGGGAGAAAGTCTTCTTGGTAATGAGGTTATTCTTGATATGCCCAGGGGTCTGATTGTTCTCCGTAGTAAGGGTGTTGGTACTGGAACCTGAATTCATAGTCTTCTCCTCCTTGATTACTCCAGGGAGTCTCGGGGTAATGCCACTTGGATGGTGGTGGATACCCCCAATGGTTGGAGAAGCCATGAGGATCCATGATTCAGATCTGCACCAACAAAAACAAAAAACACCCAAGTGAAAAGCAAGGGTGGAAAAGAAAACGCTAAAGTAACAAACTTCTGCCTTTCCTAATCTTCTAGAAAGTAAAAAACTTGACACGCCAAAACACAACACCAAACTGCGACCAAGCGTAATCGCAGAATGGGACTGCAATATAGTGGCACAAGTAATAAATATCGAATCCACGGGTCTCTAGAGTTACTATTACTCAGCTTCAGTTCATTATCTAGCAAACTAGATTAAGGATTGATTTACTAAACTACTCTACTAACTACTCTACTAATTACAAGTTGGGAACTCACTTAGGTATGATTCCCCCTAGCTCCTCAATTAGGTCCAAGTTGCAATTACTTTTGGTTGGTCTACTGTTGATTAAACTGCGGAAGATCCTAATTAGCTTGGAATCTCTTAAGCTGACCAAGCCCTCTTAGACAGAATACCCGGCATGCGACTAGCCTTCACCGGGGTAGACTGCTAAGGCGATTCACACAGATCTCCACTACTGGAATGAATTCCAGTACAAAGCAGTGAATTGATTGACTCTCGCACAACCAATTCACCACTATCAATCAAGGAAGATCTCTTAACCTAATCAGATTCTATCTATCATAGGTTAAAGCAGAAATCAAGAGAATTTGATCAAGATTCAATTGACTCAATAAATCATGCCTCAATCGATTATAATCAAACAATATAACATCCAAAACTTCATACAAGAAAGATCCTAACACTTGGAACTAGGGTTCCTCAAAACCTAAGTGAAGGGAAGTTACTCCATAGAGAAGAGAGAGACTGCAGAAATATGATCTAGATCTTCAATCTCCATCTCCAAGCTTGAGTCCCGAGCTCCAATGGCGAAGAAATCCTCCAAAATAGCTCCAAGAATGTTCCCAAGTCGCTCTCTCTCTCTCTAGGGTTCGTCCCTTGGGTGTTTGGGAACCAAAACCCAGCTCTCCCTCTCCTTTGGCTCGAAATTTGGCTTAAAACCAGAGATTCCCGACTCACACGGCCAGGCCACACGGCCGTGTGACTTTCCCAGCTGCCCGTGTGAGTGTCCAAACGGGGCGTTTCAATTAGTGGGCAACCAGGCAAGCTGCAAGGGCAGAGGCCACACGGCCGTGTGGCTCCCCAGGCTGCCCGTGTGGCTTTTACAGAGCCTTCACACGGACACAAGGGGCCCCTACACGGCCGTGTGAGGTGCAATGGTGCCCGTGTGGCTTCCCAGCTTCTCGCCAAACGTCCAATCTTCGTCCAATCGACCCCGAACTCGTTCCCAGGCCTTCATTCATGTGCTAGGACCTGAAATATCACAAACACAAACAACCTAGCGTGAAATCGGCCTAAAACGCGGTAATCGACATCTCAAACGGCTCAAGAATAGGGGTAGAAACATGTGTAATTATTGGTTTATCATTGTCACCACTAGCTCGTCCGGAGGTCTTAGACACGGGTTCAGATGACTGGCGATTGTCTTGGACATGGGAAAAAGGCTTTTTGGGTGGTGGTAATCATGACATGAGGTTCTACATCTTCAACCTAAACCCGAAGGTTCTATGGTTTCGACTAAAACCCTTCTCTTCAATCAAAGGCCACTAGCATCGGCCGAAAACCTTATCTCTCCCTTCCAACTATCACCCATAATGAACTACATTGAAGCACTCTTCCTCCGTTAACTCTTGCTAGCTCAATAAGGTTTGGTAGTGAAGGAATCCTAGAACTTCGATGGCTTGGGTGACAAGAAACCCCTCCTAGAGCATGTACTTTGGTTTTTCGTGGCACTCTCTACTTTATTTACCCCATTTTATTACCTCTTTTTCTTTTTTCTTTTCTTTCTTCTTTTTGAGAGGGGGTACTAGAGAGTAAAAACACTTGCCACCTAAACATTTAACGACCAATGCTCTCTTTTTTAGGAACTCACTCCAACACTACACTTCATTTCGCATTCCTAGCAAGAACCGCACACAAACCTCTTATGTAGAACCTGTAACACCCTAACCCGGCCGGGTACTACTTTTACTAAAATTCCCTTGATAAATAAAATACTCAAATCTTAAATTGCAACTGGGAAAAAGTTTTACTAAATAAAATTTACTGAAAACACGCACTTGTAGTTCAAAGCAACGCCCTAACACATGGGCAAACTCAATACTTAAAATCTCAAAATGATCTCCAGTCTATACTCATAATCATAAATGTAAATAACTAATAATCTCTAATGTTGTTGCTACTGAAATCTTGACTAAGCATCCTCTGTGACGCTTATACTGCCCTCCTCTAGCTGCCTGCCCTCGAATTCGCTGCTCACTAAATGCTCCTCTAGCTCTTACTCTAGCTCTTCAAACTGGTGAGTGAGATGGGGTCAGTCTACGCCCTTACGTTTAACATCTTATTAATACATGATCACTTAACTTAGTGGAAGTTGTTTTGTACCTACACTATTAAAAATCTTGACTCTTGAAACTGTACTCTTAAAACTCAAACCTCCACTTAAATTCTTGACTGACACGGGGATCCCTCACTAGCTAGTCTGGTTGCCAACTCATACGTATGAGAAGCCATCCGGGCTTACCTTAAACTTAAACTTAGTTAGGGGAGTCGTAACGATTCATCCCCCTAACATCTTAAACTTATCGTGGTGGCTCTTCACCACGATTCTCAAGAGCATAACTGTTGCTCGTCTTAAAAGTCTCAAGAGCATAACTGTTGCTCTATCTCAAAATGTCTCAAAAGGCAACGGACTGACGCTAGTGACTAAAAACAGTTAAAACTACTTCACCTTCTTGAAGGTGAGTTACTTCTTAAAAAGAACTTGTACTTTAAACTTTAACAATAACTCAAACATAACGCTTTAAGGTAAATAGCACAAAATCATCTCATATCACCTCAAATAGCACAAAATCACCTCAAATCATAGCTCAAGCAAAGCACAAATAATCAATCATAAACATAACCAAGCAACGGTAACCAATTCGCTAAAATACTTAAAAATCATAAAACTTAAAAGAATACGTAAGGCGTAGAATTTACCCCATTTACACTCACCTCTATTACTCAGTTCGGTCGACTTGAAATATCCCACGACCTATATGGGCCCTGTATCAAGATGTTAAGTACGCTTGCTCCTCCTCCTCGCACGTAGCACTTAACTGAAATTGCACATGTCATTGCTTTGTTATTTATAAACCAAGTTTTACTAAGTGGGGTTTCCACACCCAACAACCACGTTAAACACTCCCCTTCCTAATGGGGTAATCTATTTTTGTCTAGAACCAGTGAAATTTAATAGCCATTTGCCTTCCTTATATCCCCTTCCATTCTTGAAACCGACACATAAGCCCACTAAACTAATGATTACTGCAATTCCATGCACGCTTAGTAAACATATATGCCTATGTTCTTGTTTTACCTTCCTTATATCCCCTTCCATTCTTGAAACCGACACATAAGCCCACTAAACTAATGATTACTGCAATTCCATGCACGCTTAGTAAACATATATGCCTATATTCTTGTTTTACCGGTAAACCGCACAATAAACCAAACATCCAAGTTTCCGGCCATGTCCCAACAGTCGTATATAATCCGACTGTCCTAATCCATTTGGAGGCGAATTCCTTTTTACGATGCTACTCCGTATGAATGCTTCGACCAAGTAAATAGAACTTACGTACCTACTTAGTACCTCAACCGGCCAGATAGACGACTCAGTCGTAGTTTCTTGAAGGCAGCCCATAACCAGCTCACGTATGTGCCTTCCAATCGCACGACAGTCGGGTTCTCGTTGGACCCATCTCGTCGATTCCTCTTTCACTGACTCTTTAAGGATCCACACCGACGTCAAGGATATTTGCGGGCTCCTTGCTTGATCGTCCCTGGAACCCGTTGTCGGAGTCCATGATCCATCGCCGTCGTCACTCAACCGGGGATGACCCCGACCATCACTTCTCGTCTCGGGCTTTCTTCTCCTCCAACGAGGGACGATTAGTCCAACAACTCTGTTCGTCCTACCCCTTTGCATTGCCGCCCTTGTCTCTCTCCCCAATCCCCCGGCCGTATTTTATGTGGGGAAAGACCATCGATATTCTCTTTCCAACCTTAACGTAAGGAGGATGCGGATCGCCCTCCTCCCTACTCACTCCACCAATTCAGTTACGTATTTATGTAATATAAATGAGTATGCATTCTATTCATTTACCACCATAACCGTCTTCCACTCCCCCTTCTTTTACTCGAGTCAAACGTCCATTTTTACAATAAAAAGGAAGTCACTTGAATGTGGCCCATCCGATCTTAACCCCGCTAAATTATTAGTTGGGTCTTGATGCATTTGATTTGATCCGGTTTGATTTGATTTGTGTGTACGTAACAGGCGATCCAACCATTCACTTATTATAGTCGAACCTGAACCAAAATGCCGGGATGTTACAGAACATCTATGGAGACTCAAAGGTGAGAGCTCCGGAACACACAGGCAACTCATGTTTAGACACGAAGAAAGGATTGGTGGTCGTTCTACTAACACCTTTACGCTCACATGCACGAAGCTACTAAATTGAGAACGACCCACAAAGTCACAAGGCTCATAGGGGTTGACTAAAGGATGATACATTTCGGGACAATCAACATTTGGGCATGGACACATCCTATGCCTCCATCATACTTGGCAGTGACAACTTGTGATGCTACACACCATGGTAAGAGGGAACTATCACATCGGAAGAAAACGATAGGCTCAAAGCTCATAGGCTACCTAGTTACCCAACGATCTACTCCAATTCACAAACACGATGCATGGCAATTGTAAGTAACAAGTGATCAAGTCAAGACATCCATTCATTTATGCACATCTGAGAACTAAACTTTTGCCCTATCCTAATGAACTTCCCAGTCATCATCATAGGATATACTCAATCACATGCAACAATTCAAGATCAATGCCCATAAACACGAGAATTTCCCACCATCCGGCCACTTTGATCATACAAACATTTCTTGGAGCCCTCAAATTTTGAAATTTGGGCATACAAAAGGCTCCAAGCATCATCACACCCACACAAGCATACTAGTAAACTACCCTTCCCTCCCCGCACACACTTAAACTTGGCATTGCCCTCAATGGCGTAAGAAAGGGGTACAATGATGTTACCGCTTGGGCTTGGTGAGTGAAGGTTGGAATCGAACCGGGGTAGGATAATTTGAGCTTCAAGGAGAGACAAAAAAACAACACACACAAACACAATACGACTCGCTCGAGGCAAGGTTATTACAAGCACAATACATAGTAGTAGTAGTTCAAACACACACACACACACAAATAAAAATAAAAACAAAACAAGTTCAGGGTTACAAGTAGAGAAGTGGGGCGAAAGGACTCCGCTCTGCCACATGTCTCACTCGTCATCTACCTCTCTCTGGTGGAAGGACCATCTCCAACATCGGGTAGGATACCCAGGTGGTGAGCCATAAGCTCGAGGATGTCGGACTGCCGGTCGAGACGGGATGAGAATCCCATGAAGCTCGTCTCAAGGCAATCCACCCTCTAGACAAGGGGATCGCCTGCTGGTGGTGGTGGTGGTGGCTGCTGTGCAGGACGCTGGAGAGCTGGGAGGCGGCGGTCGGGTGCATGAGCAGGTGGCTGCTCGGCTGCTGGCGGGACCTCGGGGTTAGGACTCAATCCCTCGATGTACCGCATTGGGCCAAAGGTGCGCAATAAGCGCATGGAGTAAAGAGTGCCCTCGTCAAATCTCTGGGTGCCTCCCTCTTTCGAGCACCCTGAAAGGCTGACATCGAAATATCTAGCAAGGCGGGTGATGAACGGACCCATTGATGTGACATAACGACGGGGTTCCCTCCTTGGCCCTAGCAAAAGAAGTGGCCATGACTGGCCCCAGGTGCAAAGTGCTAGACCGGTCCACCATGCAAGCACAAGCCAATAATACTCTCTCGGTTATCTTGTTCGGATTGTGGTAAGCCGGGTAGAGGGAACGAGCCAGGAGTGCAACCATGACACGTCATTGGAGCTGGAGTGTGGATGTCGTTGTGAGGGCCGACTTGAACTTTGTCCTTCGATACTTTGGAAGACAAAACTTCAGAAACGCGACATTCACGTCAAAACTTCATATGGCATCTTCCTCCCACTCGTCCCTATGTTTGGCTTCCACTCTGGGGGCTCTGGCTAGCTTGTCATAGCTCAAATTGCGAGGTTCCCCTCCCAATCAAAACTCGACCCGACTTACTGGATGACCGAGTAGGCATAGACTCTTGCGTATGGTGAAGGTGCTGAAAAACTCGACGCATAGTGACTCGACTCTACTGTCACTCCAGGAATTGGCCAAGTGAAACCACTTCCTAAAGCGTAGTATAGCGGGTTTGGGTTTAATTATCAACCCGGGTCCTAGATGTGATGACTACTCAGTGAATTCTTGTTATCTAGCAATGAAACTGGCATGCAAGTCTAAACTATCAAACTAACAAAGCAAGTAAACTGTTGTATTCAGGTTAAAGAGGTCACCCGGATATGGTTCCCCCTAGACTGCAGTTAAGCCGGATTGTAATTACCAAGTTCAGTTTCTATGATGGTTATACTGCGGAAGGTTCTCAAACAGCCTGAAGTCTCGACTAAAGGTCTTCAGACCCTCTCAATCTGAATCTCTAGCGGGCGACTAACCTCCACCGGAGTAGACAGATTGAGTCCCTAAGAACAAAACCTCCACTACCGGAGTAAATCCGGTACAGAATAGTGAGTTGGTTCCTCGACTAAAGTCACCAACTCCCTACCTTCAATCAAGGATACTCTATTAACCTAGGCAGATATTCTCATTCTAGGTTAAAGCAGAAACAACAGGAATTTGATCAGGATTCAAGTCATTCAATCGTTAAAACCTCAATCGAATATAATCAATCATAGAATCAGTACTTGGGTTCATACAATCAAAGCCTAACATACAAATCTAGGGTTCTCCATACCCAGATGAATGGGAGAACTACTCCATAGAGAAGAAAGCAAAAGCAGAATCAGACACGGAATTCATACTGCGAAGGATGGATTCCTGTTTCTGGACGTTGATCGGCACTTCTCCAAGCTCAAACTGGCCTCCAATGGTGTTGAAGATCAATCTAGGGCACTTGGGAACTCTTGCTCGTCACTTTCTCTCTCTAGGAATCGCTCTCTTTCTCCAAAACTCGAATCCTCTCAATGTTGGCCTTCTTCTTCCTTTTATCAGCTGCCTGGTCGCGATACCCGGTCGAAATACCCGGTCGGGTATTTTGGGTTTCGACCGGGTATTGCAAAACTCACCGTTTCATTTAAGGGGAAAATCCCCGGTCTGTCCTCATAATCCCCGACCGTGGATTTAAGGCATTTGCCCGGGCCCCCTTCTGTTTCTCAGACGCCAAAAAGAGAAATCCCCGGCCTCTTCAGAAATATACCCGGCCGGGTATTTTCGGTCATGGCCGGGTATTTTCTTCCTCCAGCCCACTTCAATCATCGTTTGCTCCTTTCGACCCGAATCTCGTTCCTTCGCCTTGATTCCAACGCTGGGTCCTGAAATGTGACATAAACACACAACCTCGCGTGAAATCGGCTTAAAACCCGAGATTTAACTATTCAAACGGCTCAAGAATAGGGATGAAAATACGTGTAATTATCGGTCTATCACATAGCTCCCCGTAAGTGTCATCTTCAAGTTCAAGGGCTTGGCACCATTGTGGGTGTGCCACTGCCTCCCTCGTAGCGTCACCGCAATGAAGCTTATCGAACTGGGAGAATTTGAGTTTCCAATGGTTACTGACTCTCGACGATGCCCAGAAATATGCCTCTTGCTCCATTTCGGGGCTGCTCCTTAGCGCCACAAGATAGGGGTGATCCATGTTAACCATCCTACACAAACTAAAACACACCATACGTGGAAACATCTATCATATAATGCTCATTGGGAGGAAAAGAAATTCCCCCCACACTTGTTTTTCCACCATGGATAAAACATTTAAGCTCAAACCACTGTGGCATGGTTGTGGGTAATTCACGGTTCAAGCATACAAAAACTTGAACCACAACCCTTACCACGGTGGCTACCATCCACCAATCAAGAATAAACTCTACTTGCATTCATAACATAGCACTTGGTGGGCAAATTCTAAAAATAAACACAATTTGGTTCAAACATGCCCACCAAGGCTCACTAAGCTCATGCAAAAATCAATCCATCATTCAATCGACCTAATTCACCTAATTCCTCGGCCTAAATCTAGATTCAATCATGCCAAGCACAAAAATTCAACCTCACTTCACTACCTAATCCGATTCTCCACAATTCACAAAGGTAAAGTTGAAAAACAAACCTGGAGACTCAAGTAGGACGTAGGAGGAAGTGAGGTGCAGGTGAGGACGGTGAAAAACAGTCGGGAAACTGACCGGAGAGGGGCCTCCGAAGCTTTGTCGAAAGCTCGTCGGAGACTCGCCGCGGGTGACTTGGCCGGAAAAATGTGCTCCAAATCTCCCCAAAATCTCAGCACAAGCCGGTTTTGAGGAGAGGAGACTGGGTATGACGTTGGTTTTGGGTTTTGCTCGCCATAAATGGGGGAAAATCGAAAAACCGACGAATTTTCGCGTTTTCCGTCGAAGATTTGAAATTTTCCGGCGCGTTCTTGGTCGTGAAGTGAAGAGTCGCCGTTCACGCCTCTTTTATAGGCACGGCTCAGAGTTCACGGACGCGTTGCCCAATTCACGGTCTTAGCGACCGTGAACTGTCAAACGCGTCTGTGAACACGGAGTGGTTTCCAGGTGGTGAACATGCATCAATACCCAATTCACGGATGACAGAAAACAGGGCACCACTGCTAAAATTTTGACTCAACATATTCCTCCATGCCTCCTAATCGATCCTAGCACAACCATAAACCGCAAAAACACAACACTCGGCACGGGCACCACTTCTTGGCATTTGAGCCATGGCTTCAAGGAAGGGGATGTTAAGGTAGAGGTTGCGGAGCATTTCCATGAAACCTCCACACTCGTTCTCCAACCTCTCCTTGTACATCCTTGTGGGATAAGGAAGAGGTGGTGTGTATCCATCCTCCGGCAATGCCTTCCTTTCCGCCTTCCTCTCATTCCTCAGAGCTTCCCTTCTCCCTTCTTCGGGTTGGTCTCTTACTTGTTGGAATCTTCCTTCTCCACCACTTCATTAGTGGCGACTTCTGGAACCACCTTCACACTCCTTACTTGAAGTGCATTCACCCTGACTTGATCCTTGGGGTTCGTCACGGTTTGGCAAGGTAAGGCTCCCTTGGGTCTCTCGGTGAGGATGCCGGCAAGTTTGCCAATTTGCACCTCCAAACTTTGGAGGCTCGCTTGATGGCTTCGAAGACCCGCCTCAACCGAGGTAAACTTGGTAGTTGCCACATCCATGAATTGCTCTATCTTCTCGAACTTTTGGCTACTCGTACTCACGAAGGTGTTCACTAGGTCTTCAAGCTTGGATAACTTGTCGGGTTGATGTTGTTGATGAAACTGTAGGGAACCTTGTGATTGGTATGGTTGTTGGAAGTTTGAGCTTTGGAGTTGGGGTCATTGTTGGATGAAGGTGGGCTGAGGTTGAAAGTTCCCCGTGGGGCCTTGGAAACCCGGGGGCCTCGGATTAGTTGGTGATGACCAAGCAAAGTTGGGGTGGTTCCTCCATCCAAGGTTATAAGTATTAGTATACGGGTTGTTGACCCTAGCATTTTCCACGAAGTTGACTTGTTCCTCCGGAGTGGTTGCCTCCTTCATTGCTTGGCACTCCGCCATCTCGTGGCTAGTGCTCGAACACCAGTCGCACGACATTACCGTCCGTTTTCCTTGCCTTTTATCTTCAAGCATAACCTCAAGCAACTTATCCAACTTCGCCTCAAGCGGAGCACTCGCTTCCACGCTTCTCACTCCCCTATCATTGCTCCTTCTTCGACTTCTAGTCAACACCCAATCATACCCCCTAAGGGACATATCTTCAAGTATCTCGGTTATTTGGGGTGGAGCCATATTCATCAATTTTCCTTGACACAAGGAGTCAATGAGGATTTTATCTTCTTTCATTAGGCCTCCATAGAAGGTTTCGATCCAAAGTAATCGGAGTACCTCTCCAAAGCATCCCTCAAGATCTCGTCCTCTTCTTGCTCGAAATGTGTAATCTTCTTTCTCCACTCCGCCGACTTCAAAGGCGGGCAATAACGAGCCATAAACTTGTTGAGGAGGTCGTCCAATGAGGTGATAGACCGAGGTGGGCGGCTGTTTAGCCACCTAAGTGCTTTCCTCGAGAGTGAGTATGGGAAAAACCTTAGTTGCAAAGCTTCGGCAGGCATACCATTAATTTTCAAGCTCCTCGCGAGCTCCAAGAATCTTTGCACGTGATCTCTTGGTGACTTGCTCTCAAGGCCAGGGAATAGAGAATTACTTTGTATCATAGTCACTAGAGCCGGCTTGATCTCAAAATTGTTTGCCGCCACTGGAGGATGTAGGATTGGCGATTGAATGTCCGCCGGCCTTGGGGCCATATAGTACCCCATTGTCCTCGGGGAATCCTCTTCCTCCGCTGCATCCTTCAACTGGCGGGCTTGAGCGCTATCTTGCCTTTGGTTCCCCGCCATTTCCACTACAACGATGGGTTCAACTTCCACTTCTTCATGTACTTCTCCACTAACACCGGGACCCAAACGTTGTCCCCCTCTTTCACTTCCTCTCCTTGCCTCCGCTAGCTCTCTCTCCAGTGCTAGGAGCCGGAGAGTTCGGTTTATGTCCTCGTCAAGCGGTAGCAAAGGTATCGGGTTGCTCTGGATCATGCATCACCTACACACAGTCGGAAAACACACCAAGTCTAGCACAAGCAAAGCACACACACTTGCAAAACTAGAAATTAAAAGCTAGATTAACAACCAACAACTTTTTCAAGATAACAGACCGTTGTCCCCGGCAATGGCGCGAAAAACTTGACTCGCACGAAACTACACCATAATAAAACCCCAACAAGAGCCCAAGTTTTTAAACTCTAGTCGGGTGCAGTACAGGGTAAGTATTTAGATATCGACCCGGTTCGGTCCGTGATGCTCTAAAACACAACACCAATCTGCGACCAAGTGTAATCGCAGACCGGGAATGCAGTAAAGTGACAAGTTATATTATCAACCCGGGGTCTAGATCTACTGCTTACTCAGTGATTATCTATTATCTAGCCAACTAAAGTAAATGATTGTTGTTTAAAAGCAAAAGCAGAAAGAAAGCAGGAATTGGTACGGTTTTCTCAAGCAGGTAAGAGTCACTCGGGAATGAGTCCCCCTAGCTCCTTAGTTAGGTTTCAATTGTATTTCCCTGGGTTGATTTACTGTTGATTAGACTGCGGAAGATCCGACAGTAGCTTGGAATCTCTTAAGCTGAGCAAGCCCTCTCAGCCTAACTACCCGGCAGACGACTAGTCTTCAACGGGATAGAAAGCTGAAGCAGTAAGAACTGAACTCCACTACTGGAATTGGATTCCAGTACAAAGCAGTAAACTGGCTAACTCTCGTATAGCCAATCTCCTACTACCGAATGATGAGACTCTAGCAACCTAATCAGATTCTATCTATCTCAGATTGCAGCAGGAATCAGGAAAAGTTGACCAGACTTCAATTGACTCAATAAACATGCATCATTCGATTAAAATCAAACAGTAATATCATCCCAAGTCATTACAATCAATCCCTAACACATAGAACTAGGGTTCTTCATCCCCAAGTGAGAGAGAGGTTCTACTCCATAGAGAGAGAGAGAGGAAAACAAGATACAAAGCATTCATACTCATAATTATGGGAAGAATCTGCTCTGGGATGATGATTTCCACTCCTATGACGATCTCCAAGCTTGATTTGATGAAACCTAGCTCCAAGATAGCTTCTAGGATGTGTTCTTCGTCCTTTCTCTCTCTAGGGCTCTGTTTTTGCTCAAGAAATCCGATTCAGGGTGAATTACGGGATGAATTACGGTCGTAATTCTTCCATGCCCGTATTTTGCCCAAAACACGCGTTTTGGTTAAATTTCAACGCATCCAAACCTCCTCTCGGCAGTGAAAATACGGGTATGGGAGGGGAAATTACGGTCGTAATTCTCCTGCCCGTAATTCTTCCTCCGCCCCTGTTCAAAGCTTCGTTTCTCCCTCGTTCGGACTCCAAATCAGTCGCCGTTTGAACCCAGACGCTCGTAGTCTCATCCTCTATCTTTTCATGACA